TATCAAACTCTGAACAAAGGCGAAATTTGCATGGATTGTGTTAAAAATAGTGCTAAGTTCCCCGAAATAGTTAATTAGATGGTGTTGGCTACTTTACGTTGGCTATTTCTGGGTTAACCTCATAAATTATGTATTGCTTCGACCTACCTTTGGTGTTAGAATGACGTACGGAACGCATAAAAATTTAAAACTATTTAGAATTACATTAGACGTGCCCCGAAACTGAAAATTCAGATACGCGTTTCATCTGCGTGTGATACTTATTTTGTTCTTTTTATGTTCATGTAAGTTTAGCAGATTTATTAATATTTTATCTTAGTCACTTTTATTTATTTATTTAATAGTTCGGCAAACGAGCAGACGGATTACCTGATGGTAAGCAATCAGCGCCGCCCATGGACACTCGCAACGGAGGAGTTACGAGTGCGTTGCCGACCTTTTAGGGATTAGGGATTTGGAGATTTAGGGATTTAGGAGGGATTGGGGGAGGGGAAGGAGTGGGCCTCCGGTAACCTCACTCACACGGCGAAACACAACGCTTTGGTTATTTCACGCCGGTTTTCTGTGAGGCCGTGGTATCACTCCGGTCGAGCTGACCCATTCGTGCCGAAGCATGGCTCTCCCACACTTTTGTGTAAGGTTATTCTTTGACACTTTTGAGTACGTATGATGACCGCTTGTGAAATGTGAATGCTTTTAATTATTAAAATAATTAATTATTTTTATTAATTTTTCGATTTTGGTATGAGATAATTGAGATTGTTTATTTAAAAATGTCTCCTCTATTTAATGGATGTTATCTTCTCCTCTTCAATCACTCTATCTATTTCAAAAACCGCATCAAAATCCATTGTGTAATTTTAAAGTTTGAGCATACATATTATAGGGACAGAGAAAGCGACTTTGTTTTGTATTAAGTAGGTAGTAAAATTTTTAATGGACAATAGAACAAACGGGATTAGGTACAAATCCACGTTAGTCCATCTTGTAAATACTTGATCAAATTCTGAACTTCAATGCTACTATTTTACTAGGTAATTTCATAAGACATCTTTGTAATGTTAACTAAAGACAAATATAGTTAAATTTTTTGTTTGTTCAAGTTTTAAAATGTTTGCACAAGTGTCAGTCACCGAGTGTGTCAGTGTTGTCAGATGTAGGTAAATATTATTTTTTTGATAACATTTTTGTTAAGTGTAGTAAGTAGTGTAAAGTTTTTTAATTACTTACTATATGATATGTTTACTAAGCTAGCTATCAATGAAATAACAACAGCAAATGAACGTAAAATACTATGGAAATAAGAAATACAAGAAAACCAATAAACGGACAAACACATTTTTAATTATTGTCTAATCATTTATTTCAATTAAGGAGAAGACAGAAAAAAGACATGAAAAAAGAGATGAAATTGCTCAACAGTTGGCTATCTCAGATATAAATATTTGTGAATAAAATATATCAATATTAGAAAGACTTAAATTTTGTTTACTTAAATGCGCTAATCTCGGAAATTAATGCATTAGCTGCTTATGGCTTATGAGTTGGTAGGAGTACATCGCCGCAACGCATATTTTCAATAAAAAAAGTGATGGATCAATTTCAAAATTTTTATTTTGTCGTACCTATAGTCTAACTATCGAGAAAGGTAATGCATATATACCAAAATACATCACGTTACGACAAATAAAGATATGTAGCAGATGAAACCGAGCTGAAGTAGCCGAAATATAACTAACTTATGATGTAAAGACTAAGATAAAGACTAAGATATAAAGACTAGCCATTCTCGCGTGGTTTCACCCGCTGCTCGGCTCCATTTGATCGTAGCGTGGTGTTTTATAGCCTATAGCACTCAGGAATGTTGTAACTATCTATCAGTGAAAGAATTTTGACATTCCGACCAGCGTTTCCAAAGATTACCCCTACATACAAACTTACAAATTTTACCTCTTCATAATATTAGTATAGATTATGTACATAAGTACGTCTTAATACATAATCTAATGTTACGTGCAAACATTACTGACCCAGATACGCAGCGTAAAAACTTTTTACTATCAATCTTGAAATAAATATGGACCGGCTGGAAATAATAAAAAAGAGTTTTTTATTCTATTCATAAAAAAGGTTATCTATGTAGTTACCTGGATTTATTTGGCAAAAGAATGTAACTCGGCCGCCAATCGAGTCAGCGGTTTCATAAAAATCGATTTTTTGGGTCACTTTAGTCGACTCCAAGTTTGGTGTTAATAAAATTAGGTCAAATTAAACCTTCAAAGTGTCTAGCTATCTAGCAATAGTGAATTATTATGAAGTTAGTTTGTTTGAAAGTGAAAACCTTTTAGATAAATCCTTTTATACGTTACAAAGATTTTTATTTTTGAGACTATTAAGTTTCTACTGTTACTTTTCCATGCTCAATTTGTAATAACGTGCCTATAATTCTCATGTAGATTCATGCATCTCTATATCCGATTATATTGCTATCAATCGATATAGAAGAAGAATTTCCTGCTAAAAAAAGTTTTAGCAGGAAATTCTTCTAAACCACCCAAAGCTTTAATACAAACCGTACGGAAATTCTTTTCCATCTACAAAGTCAAAATCATTGATTGCAACTAAACCATAAACAGGTACTAAACGTAAACGTCAAAATATAATAATAGTCCGTCAGATTGGTCGTCAATGAAGCTAAGTGCTCGTTCCAAAGCATAGATTCGAATAAATTCGAAGAAGAAAGAGCAAACAATTCCATAGAGGAAAGGGCAAAAACTCTAAACAATAGATTGTTTACCTACTTGTACTTATTTGAATTTCTAAATTATATGTAGTTGCACTTTAATAGTATAAAACATTCAAGCATTCTTGTCAATCAAAATGTTAGAAAGAACGCCAGGAATTATTGATTTATTTCACAATAAAAATAAACAACATCTGAGACAGATTATCCCGTTCCACCTACGTGCGTGGTTCATTTCATTCATTCCTCAGTTCTTTTCATTCACTTGCGCATAAACACGTTTTTCTTTTTTTATTTTAATTCCCGCGTTCTGCGTATTTAAATTGTAAACAGATTGTGGTTTCCTGTTGAGTTGAGAATGTTGAGATCTTAATTTATTTGGCATGTTACTATGTTTATCTGGAAGCCGGTACATTTAATAATTACATTGTTTACAACGGAAGCCAGTATCCGACATTTGCTGTCTTATTAAAATTGGATATCGAAATAACAGGGAAAGTTATACTTTCAATGTTGTCACGCATTGTAAGAAAAAATCGTATACATTTTTCCCGCCAATTTTGTATGAAGTGTTTTTTTTTTAAATACTGAGGTCATGGATCGAAAATCTGCGCTTTTTTTTAAACTGGGATATTTGGCTACTAAAGATTATTTATGTCAATGAAACCCTTAAATACATAATAAAATAGGCTTATTGTCCAAACGTGTGTCGTATATGATAACAACATAAAAATTAATGACCTTAATCTTATTTATTTTTCAAAATGTTTTTATATCTGGAGGTTATCGATACCACCTCTCTAAGAGATATAAATATGATATTAAATATTATTGTCTTTATCGTTTGTTTTTATTTGTCAGAGTTTTATATTTTGCTAGAGAACAAGATCCCAAAAAATGTCTTTAAGACGTAAAATGGTATAGTTATATGGTATAGTTCGTACATGGACTTTGAAGAAATTAAGTTCACGTTTAAAATATAACAATATGCTGATTGCAGTATGACACAGTCCATAATTCGTTGCAAAATAACAATGCATTCAACTTCCATACTACTGCATTGAATAAGCGATAAGGAACATTCCAATTTTCATAGCCAGCGCCACAAATTTAGAAATAAACACGCATGTTCAGTACTAATGTGCTTTAAACCAATTAAATTCCAATTACGACTGGCATTGTTCCTCAGTTTCATAATTTTGGCACGACTGCCATATTTCTGGATTGATGTTTCCGAGCTTTGGTATTGGCTTGGGGCTTGCTTCTGTTTTGACCTTTGATGAAGGTTACCCGTTGTAGTATTGAATTTGGAAGATGGAGGTCTTTGTTGTATCTGTGTAGAAAATATTCAAGGACTAGATAATGGCTGCTTTTGAGTTTAGTTTACAATTAAAAAATACGTAATCATAATCATTTTTTTTCAGAATTTTTATGTACCTAAGACGTTTGAAGCACTCAAATTCTTCTCGATGTCGTTAAAAATTAATATGTTATTTGTTGACAATTTTAATCTGAACCTGTAAATTTTTTTAACTGTTTATGTAGTTTTTAAGTATTTGGTTTTTTTGTATTTATTCTTATATAGTCTACCCTATTTGTTTATGGGTACCTAATTGACGTTTTTATTAGATAGGGTGGCAAATGAGTAGAAAATCTGATGGTAAGCCAACGGTGGCGCTCATGGTAACCCGTAACACCTGTGGCTATTTGAAGGATTTGAAAATGGTGTGAAAGACTAGGCCTCCGGTACAGAAAGAACTCAATTGCATTGATTCTAACCAATTTTCTGAGTGCCTAGTCCAAGTTTGTTTAACGTTAAGGCGATCGACACCTTTGTGACGTACACGGCTTTGATTGGACGGCTCTAAATTAACTAACCAATCAGAGAGCTAGACGCGTAACGTTCCATTCGCTCTAACGAAAAGTAAACTCGTACTAGGCATTCTGTTAGGCCGTGGTATCTAGCGGAAGCAAAGTATTATTCTTTTAGTAAGTAAATACTAGTTGTAAATCAAAATCAAGTGTGGGAGAGCCAAGCTTCGGCACGAATGGGTCGGCTCGACCGGAGTGTTAGGTACCACGGCCTCACAGAATACCGGCGTGATACAACCACAGCGTTGTTTCGCCGTGTGAGTGAGGTTACCGGAGGCCCAATCCCGCCCCTTCTCCTATCGCAACCCCTATCCCCAATAAGCCGGCAATGCATTCGTAAATCCTTTGGTGTTGCGGATGTCCATGGGCGGCACCGATTGCTTACCATCAGGTAATCCGTATGCTCGTTTGCCGACTTATACCATAAAAAAACGAATATATACAAGTATACCTACATATAGTATAGTAGATAATTACAGTGGGAACTATCGTCGTGACGGTTCGCATGCCCTCTATGAGTGATGGCAATTAGTGGATAATTACTGGTCACAATCTTAACTGTGGTCAATGGATAATGGACTTACTTGTGGTCATTGTAGCTTTACATATCGTTACATAGGTACATTATTATTAAATATATTATGTCTTGAGGATTCTTATTTTGTTTTGTTTGAATTTATTCTTTTTTTAAATAGTAACTCGCTCATCGAGCTTTGTTCTGTTTTTTTTTTTCTGAACGTAAAACCTTACCTATGTTTTTTTGGGCAGATTGATTTTTGGTCCCCGTAGGTAACCCTTTACTTACAAAATGGTATCAAAATCCTGCGATCCTGTGATAAACTAGATACGATCCCCATAAACTGATCTTAAAAAAAATGTTTGAAATAACAGCATATTGTGAGAGTAAGGCATAAATACATAACATTTTGTAATACCTGATTCCAAAGAAACCCGATAACAAGGAAAAATGTTACTCGAAGAAATATTATGTAAGAAAGAAAACTCATTGGAGTAAACTGAAGTTTATGCATATTGTATAAGACTGAGTTTCGCTCGTAATAATTCACCTGTACCTATCCTTATTGTTATACAGCAAACTTTAATACAACCTTATTTTGTTTGGCATAAAATCGTTAATCCAGTGGTATTTTTCTTTTCCTATACTAATATTACAAAGAGGTAAGATTTTGGTTTGGTTTGGTGTGTCTTTATAGAGAGAGATATTGAAAATACCGAATGTATTCGTTACTCTTACATACCCTGTTCCGAGAGGGAATGTCAGACTCTTACTGACTAAGAGAGAGGCGTCCCGCGTGAGGGAGCAATCCTCCTCCTCACGCCCCAGCCGCCGCAACTGGCGACACTACGGGCGTCGGGAATCAAGGGACGATCTCCGGCCACCGTAAGCACGGGTCTGTGGTCGGCAAGTAAGGGCAGGTCGCCGCCCGACCAGAACCAGGCCCGAGCGTACGGCGCGTAGCGTTCCGCGCGCGCCTCAAAGAGCCAATAGACCACCACAGACGGGGCCCTAAAGTTGCGGGGTAAGCGCAATGAGGCACCACGACCCCGGCCCAGAGCAGGAGAAGAAACAGGGGGGTTTTTAGTCAGTAAGAGTCTGACAGTCCGTCCCGCTCGGCCCTGGGCGGGAGAAGTCATTTGATATTTTTCCCCTCACAAAAAAAAGACTCTTACTGACTAAAACCCACCTCATCCTTTTTGCTCCGTCCTGGGCGCCATGGGCCGTACGCTCGGGTCTTATACTAGTCGTACCGTACACCAATACCATACTTTTTAATCTAGGTATAGATCATAAATAATGTGTTTTTTTTTTCATTTTATAATTTGTTGTTTTTGTAATCAGTTTTTAAAAGCAGTTCGATTTCTATTACGAATTAATATAATAAAAAGTCGTCGAAAATTCACGAAAACAAAGTCGCAGAATGTTTGCTAGTCTTACTTACATTGTTACTTATAAAGAATAAATGTTTTGGTGACAAATGATGCCGTTAGAAGTCGATATGAAGATCAATCACTAGTAGATAAATGGATTGGATTCATTTGTATTCGTTAGCGACACATTATATGTACAATATGTATGTGTAACTGGTTATTTGTACATGGCAAAACCAGTGTATAATGGTCTTGCTTTGTATTATCTTGCCGACAATTCAGCAGTCAGATTAAACTGGGTATTATTCCTTAATGGGTAGATACAAGAAGTTTGCACAGATTTTTGATGAATTGAGTCTAATAAAAAGTTTAACATTTTGTTAGTTGGCTCTAGGTACTAAGGCATGTTTTACGCATACGCCGCACGTCGCGCTGCGTTTCTTGTGTTTGGCATACATTGCAGCAACAGACATATGACAGAAACATATGAACATTGTGAGTAATGGATTTAAAAACATTACATATGAAGGCTGCATCATGTCCTAATTTATTAGTTTATTACTATGACACGAAATGGCGAACCTGGAAGAGGTCAGTGTAAGTATGTGCATTACCCGGCCTTTAAATTTTTAATGGAAGGATGAATGGGAATCCGTTAAATATCCCCGACACGGCAAAAGCATAAGTATATGTACCACACTTAAACAATAAAGAAAAAAATTAACTACAAATAATGGCAACAAAATTGTAAACATCCATTCATCTGTAAGTTCCAAAATTCTTATTTTCAATTCACTGGTTAAACCCGACAATGAATGAACTAAATGAATGAAAATTCAACCTAAAATATTTCTTAATTATAGGAATTTAAGCCTAAATAGGCGGGAACAACATAGCTCCCGGCGTTACACGTCAAAATTAACTTGGTACCCTTATTTTGGGAAATACAAAATTAATATTTCATTCATAAGGTCGCTGTAAAATTTCCCTGGGGGTACAAAAGTCCCTGTACAATAACATGTTGTGTAAACAATGAACCTTATTCAACAAGCATTGTTCAGTGGACCATTGACAAGAAAACATACAGTATTTTTCCAAATATCAACAAGAAAGAAAGAAAATACAATGCGGCAGTTTCCAACTAGTCAAATTCAATACTTTTATTAAAATGACAAAAACGATACTTTTCTATGAAATTTGTATGAAACACTCTCAGTTATGACGTCATAGTATTTCTGCGTAAAATAATTTACTTATTTCTTATAAAAATGCAAAAAATATGTACAATCCAGTGTATCGATCAATCAATGAATAAAAGTGTAGTTATTTTTCAATATTCTATTGTATAACAACGTCAAATTAATTTATTTTTGACCATAGAAATCATACATGTTGATTTTTCGATCATGAGATATATCAGTTGATTTACACTACATTTAACAGCTGCAAAAGGACAGAAGTTACAAGTGTAGTGTCCAGCACCAGGTGACGATTTGACCTACAATAACCTCACACACACGGAGAAACACAATACAAGCTGTTTGACGTCGGTGTCTTGTGACGTGGTATCAGTCCGGCCGAGACGTCCAATTCGTACTGAAACATATATGGGACAGTCCCACGTAAACTTATTAAGAAGTTTTCCTAAACTCTCCCATATCGCAGAATTTTAGCCTATATAGACTTTATACTCGTAGTACACAATATCTCCATTAAGATCCAATCAATAATCAGAATCAATCAAACTAAAATTATAAATGCGAAAGTAACTCTGTCTGTCTTTTCTTCACGCCTAAACTACTGAACTGATTCGTGTGAAATTTGGAAAGGACATAGGATAATTTTTATCCCAAAAATCCTGCGGGAGCGGGCAGTTACGAAAAAACCCGCGAAATCGGAACTATGTGAATAAAACCATAAATCTGCAGGAATTCACTATTCCACGTGAACGAAGTCGCGAGCAAAACTAGTACTTTGTAAAACTTTACAAGAAATTTTCGACAAACAAACACTTTATATAATTGTTTGATTAAATTGAGAGCTTGTAGCTTTTTTGCATGTATCGATTTTCCCTAAACATAATGTTATAACTGTTGGTATCCCCAATAAATAAATCTTGTCGTTTCTCTAGAAGTTCAGAAAGAATATCTCAAATTCCTAGGTTACGTGTATTCGTATTTCTTCGGACTAACCCAGAGTAAAGATCCGATATCATTTCATTTGATTCTTATAGGCAAAAGTTATTCCGTGACTTCACTTTTCCGTACTTTATAATTTCATTCTAGACGAAAATATCTAATCTGGGATCTATGTATAATAGTTTTGGCATACAGCGTATTATTACGTAGCTAGGAGGTCAGTGGGTCAGAATTTTCGTGTTAGAACCATCATTTCTTGTTTTATTTTCGTTCAGTGATAGGTCATATGACTGAATAATGTAATAACAAAGTTATCACTGAACTTGTTAATAATTAATAAGTAGTCTCATAGTAACAATATTATAATTAATAATTCAATCCAATAGAAACGTTTTCAGTTGCTACGGGCTACGAAATCGTAGACCTTTGCGTAGCGTGTAGTTTTCGTAGCGCGTAGCATTTCATCGATATTTTTTATTAATTTATGGCAGCAAATGAGCAGACTGTTCACGTGATTTAAGCAATCAACCCCATCAATGGATACCCACAACACCAGAGGAGTTAGGTGCCCTGTTAGGGGGTGGATAGAGATTTAAGAAACGGGGAATATGGGCATTGGGGAAGAGGAAATGATTCTTTTTAATTATAATATAAATGTGATATTTTGTGAGGTTGTATGGATGTATGTGTGTTATTCTTTTACTCGAAAACAGATGAATCGATTTGGTTGAAATTTCGTATGTAGATAGGTTATACCCTGGGTTATTAGGCAGAGACATTGGCATTTTCATTCAAGTTCTAAATAAAAGGAACCCACTACGGCTTCAAAAGAAACCTTGCAATCCTAATTTATTCTGTTACGAAGAAAGAATAATATTTTTACTACTTTTATAAAGATATTCAATTAATTATGAGTAAAATATCAAGCTTCAGTGGCTTCTAACTTTAATACAATTTTATATTCATGAAGAAGTATGCTTGAATGCATTTTTTAATTAAAATTGTCGCTATAATGTTGTTTTAAGGGAAAATTGTCGGTGCTCGAGAGCTCAGAGTTTGATTTCTATAAAGAAATACTATTTCTTAATTAGAAAAAGAATATCTAGACCGTAGTGAAGAAATTAATATTATTTTATCTTGACTTTGAATGCGCGGTTTTTTTATGGTATAAGTCGGAAAAGGAGCAGGCGGATTACCTGATGGTAAGCAATCGGCGCCGCCCATGGACACCCGCAACACCAAAGAAGTTGCGGTTGTCGGCAGGGTTGCGGATATAAGGATCGGGAAGGCTTAGGGGAAGGGGAGGGATTGGGCCTCCGGAAACCTCACTCACACGGCGAACCACAACACTGTGGGTTGTTTCACGCCGGTATTCTGTGAGGCCGTGGTATCACTCCGGTCGAGCCGACCCATTCGTGCCGAAGCTTGGCTCTCGCACACTTAAGCTGTGCGCGGTTGGTTTAGCGACTACGTAACGGGTCTTAACCAGTGGTTCAATACCCTAAAATTGTTTCAAAAAATAGGCGTAATTTTATTTAAGATTGTGTTTGTAAACGTACTTACATTATAGGAAGATAATCGTAGTACGACTTAAAGAAATGTTTATACTTACATCAAATGTAAACAATGAAAGATCGGATTAAAGTTCCCTCTTAAGAAATTTTATTAAACCTATATATGTAAAACACACAATTGATACTTGAATATAACTTTTTTATATTGAAAACATAGACAACATAACAACACAAGCATAAAACCCCGCCCAATAATCTCATCTCAATATTCAAGTTGATTCTCCGTAGTGAAGTTAAATCAATCAATCAGTTTCTAGGAAATTCGCCATTGTTGTACAAAGTAACTAGGTCATCGGGCCTTGTTATAGCCTATGTATAGCCTCTATAGCCTACCGTAGAGATGTCTATCTAGCCCAGTTACTATGCGTTTTACGAAACATGCTATCTTCTGTTTAAAGGTTGGTTTGCTACTGTTATTTTTAGTAATTTATATTGAAAATTATTAACCTAACCCTGTTGTGGGGTTAGCGCAATGAGACACTGCGACCTCGGCCCAGAGCAGGAGAAGGAACGGTTGTAGTCAGTAAGTCTAGCTGATACACCCTACCGACCCTGGGCGGGAGAAGTCATTTGATGATTTTCAACTCTCAAAAAAAAACCCTTCCCTTAGAATCACTCTATCTAATAATTAAATTGTATAAAAAGCTGTGCAGTAGTTTTTGAGTTTATCACGTTCATACAGACACAGACACAGAAACGAAAGCGACTCTTTCAATACTGACGTACATTTCCATTTTACTTGCCTGGATAAATTCAAAGCTTATATCTTAGAGTCTACATCCGTCGTCGGAGACAAAAGAGACATTGTACCCAGATTCCTGCAATTTAGTCTCATCCAGATACTACGCAGTTTTCCTTTTTACACTTGAATTCTTTCGTAAAGGAGCCCTGAAGTTAGTTAATCACGGTTGAAGGGATGTCGTTACTTGAATGGGTAATTGCTTTCACATGGATACTGGTTGAAACGTCTGAGTAAAGATCTTGAATTTGATACACAGGTACAAACACGAACACAGGGCACTGAGATTTGATGAGGAGTCTGAAATCGATGGACGTAGAAAGAGATTCTGATAAGTTTAGTTTTAAGATTCATACTTGCGATTGATTACAGATATAATAATTTAAGTATGGGTGAGCAACGCTTAAATGTTATGGTGGGCCGCAGGTTAAGACTAAAAAGGTATCATGCATGATCAGGCAAGTTCGAAACCTGTAAAGTACCGATGTGAGTCTTTCAGAGTTATGTGCTCAAAGGCTGATGATAAGTGATAATGAGCCACGCTTTGGCATGAACGAGCTGGCTCGAAGGCGTGAGATGCCGGTTACGTTGTGCTTCGTTCCCAATCCTAAGATTCCTGAATCCTAACCCCCAAACCCCAAAGGACCGGCAACGCATTTGTAGCATCTTCTGACTTTTCGATCTAACCCATAAAAAAATCGAACAGAAAATAAATTGATTGTAACTGAAGTTTCGATCGAAAAAATCAGTTCTAACATACATAGCAACTATGTAAATACATATAACTACATAGCCTTCTCTTCACAAGCATCAAAACCATTCTTCAACTCCATACCATCTTAAAAAAAAACATTGCTAAAAGATCTGTTTTATCACAAAAAACAAGACACGTGTACACACTTACACACACACATACACACACATACACTGCCATGTATCTGTTATTTATCGTTCTGCGCAAGTCACAAAACTTGATTGGGGGTAATGCACTCTGTAAAACAGTGATAGACTGTCAGTACTATATGTACCTACATAGTTAAAGGTACATAGGTACTTATTTATTTGTCTACTATAAGCTCGTCCTGACATCGCCCCTATGTTATTTCACGACTTTTCCTTGTGATTATTTCTTTCTGACAGGACCCTTGAGGTTCTGTATTCAAAGGGGAATTGACCTAGTTCTGTCAGCAGACTTCTATATCATGAATCGTGATTTATTTAATGTGATTGGACGGCAAACCAGCGCTTGTGTTACCTTATGGTAATCAATTAGAGCCGCTTATTGACACCTACAACAACAGAGGAGTTACGAGTGCGTTGTCAACCATTTGTGGATATGGGATTGGGGAAGTGGAATTGGGCCTCCTTTAATCCCACCGCGATGGTAAATTGTTGAGATTTTCACGTAATACTAATTTTTGTTGCCGACATTGCAACAAAAAAAAATACTCAAATATAATAAAATAGGTCTATAAAGGGGGGTCTATTGAAAGTAGGTATTTTGCACGCAATAGTTGTAATTTTTGCTCTTTATTAAGATGTTGCTACGAAATTATTTTTCCATCAATTTTCTCCTGATAAAGTCGGATCAAAAATATTAATTAGAAAATACATACATGACATGCCTAACTTACTTACTATCTTACTAAGTCATCAAAACGCTTCCATATGGTACGTATTAGAATGTTTGAGGAAAACCGCATATATGCCGAGAAAAAGTATCACAATCTGATCAGAAATTTCCGAGTTGTAAATAATGAAAATTGTACCTACGATTTACTACTTTTGTTTTTTATTCACAAATTTATTTTTATTTTATGAGAAGTTTCAAAACATTCGTAAACGGCGTGGCGTGATATTTAATAGCTCGTAACCTACCTCAATAATTTTGTTACAGATTTCAAAAATATTGATGGTTCTTCCAGAGATCGGATTTGTTGTTCCAGAGATAATACACGTTCGAACAAAATTGTAAGTTCAAAAATAAGCAAACAAGATTTATACAGGATAAATTTGTAAATTGTAATACTATTAAACATAATATGTATATTATGTAGTTAATACTGTTATATTATTGTTAATATATATATATATGATTTGAAAAATATTTCCTTTAAAATTTATTTACGAAATCAACTGTTTTACTGCGTAATTAAGAAATATAGCAAGGTTAAATATGTAAGTCATAAATTCGTCATTAAATTTGTTTACGTTTGTGTACTCAATGATTTGTTATTTAATGAAAACAACTTGTTTTTATAATCATTTGTTTTATCTTTATTTACGTATTCGAGTAGTTCCATTTTTCGTCATAGGTATCTAGGTACCTAAACGATCGTGCATCGTATTTATTGAAGCGCAAATATATTCGTAGACTATGTATACATTAGAAAAAAAAGGATCACAAAAGAGGTTTTATATCTTTAAAACGTAAATTATCTTCATAGTAACCGAGGTCCATAAATCACAAGGGCCGTTCGTTTTAATACACTCGGGTTCTGAAACCCGCACATGATTGATTACAATCACCTACCTATGAGTTGCCAAAAAACTCGCGAAAACCCGTAAACCCGGTACCAGGCACCACCGTAATCGATACCAAAACCCTTCCGTAAACAATAACATTGAACCTCCAAAACCTCTTCGGAACAAATTAACCCACTAAATTGAAAACACCCAAAAAAATCGTCGAAAACACACAAAACATACACAATAAAAATCCGTCGAATAATCAATATTATTATTGTGACCTACTTTACTCACCTAAGTTATGCGTAATACAACACTCCCAGAAGGCACTGTGTTACTATTAAAATACTTTAAATCACTGGCACATGTTTATTTTATTTAAATTTTACACTTTAGCGTGGATCGATAAGTCTACCATTCTGGCATGCCGGCCGTCTGTGATGAGAGCGCGTCCATTCAATACTGGGAGAGGCATGCGTAGAGGGACGCTCGCTTCGACGCCGAGCGCGGGAAAAATGACATTTGTTTTTTTTTAAGACGAGTACATTACAGACGTTTACATTTCAGCCACGAGATAAGTGCGACGTTAAATAAATATAATTTAATGTTGTTCAGGCAAATATTAACGATAACAGTTTAATTTGATATACATTATATTAGTAAGTACGCCTTTGTATGCGTGTTTGTGAACAAGCAATAAATTAATTGCAGATAAATTGATGTTCTAGCTACTTGTCATTTCATTATTTATTTAATGATAAATAGTTTGTGGGATGGCTTTTCACCGAATGAAAGGAGGAAAACTGTATTGTTAATGTTGAAGGCAAATAGAAAGGTTTAACAAAGAAACTTTAACACCTCGGCGTCGGAGTTAATGATTGAATATTTTATACAAGTATGCTTACAATGTATCATTATGTTTAACAAAGCATTTCCTGTATTTCCGAAACGTTATAATAGACCATTTTAAAATTAACACAATGACAAATAAATCTGGCTGTAAAAAAGTAATGTTCTATTTATAAATTTTAAAAATAATGCCTTCCATTTTTAAACTGCATGTATGACGTCCTATGTTATTTTCATCTTCATTGTTGGTTTCTTTTTTTAAACTGACATCAAGCTAAATGAAATAAAAACAGATAGGTATATAATTACGCTACGTTTAGTTTTACACTATAGTGCAGGGAGAGAAAGTCAATGGATAGCCTCAAATTATACTTTTTGATGATAATATTTTGTGCATACATCTATTGAAAATATAACAAGTACCGTAGGACAACTCGGGTCTGCGGTCGGCAAGTAAGGGCAGCTCGCCGCCCGACCAGAACCAGGCCGCGTCTTAAAGAGCCAATAGACCACCACAGACGGGCTCTAGAGGCTGATGTTCAGCCGGGGTTGCGGGGTAAGCGCAATGAGGCACCGCGACCTCGGCCCAGAGCAGGAGAAGGAACAGGGGGGGTTTTAGTCAGTAAGAGTCTGTCACTCCCTCCCGCCCGGCCCTGGGCGGGAGAAGTCATTTGATGATTTTCGACTCACAAAAAAACCATAGGACAACTAGAATTTACCATATTTCGAATTGAGTTCTGTGTTAAACTTCAGTACCAGAGGTAAAAGATAATAAAAAACTGTACAAACTATAATACTATATAGGCAGATAAGATTTTCTTCCAAACAACAAAAACTAAACGAAACTAAAAATTTGTAAAATATGTATAAAACAATTACTTATTTGATATTAATTATTAAGCTGAAGTTTATGTATTTGTTTGTTTGAACGCGTTGATCTTCAGAACTGCTGTCCAAATTCCGAATTGAACAATTCCTTTTGTATTGAATAGTCCATTTATCAAGGAAGGTTTAAAAATCACGCTAAGACCAATAGGAGCCGAATACAATACTAAATATTTAAATATTACATATTATATATAGTATTAAATAGTGTCATCACACGGTTGATATAAATCGTTCGTGTATTAATGTGAAACATATTAAGGAAATGAAGATTCTTGGCAGCGTAGGTCAGGATGTCTGGCTTCGTCGCACCGAGCAGTGAAAATAAACACCGTTAGGCTGCTTGCAACACTGACAATATCCACAAGAATTTATTAAAAAAAATGTCATAACAAAAAGTATCTACAATCGAGGTTTTGTTTTTTTTTTAATGTTAACAACAGGATTTTGCTACATTTACGACCTTCTTTTTTCAAATTTTAAAATAATAAAGTTCTGTTTTTTGAAGTCGCTTAGAAAAATTTTAACCTTTTACTATTTAAAAAATGATAATGGACTCAAAATTTAAAATAAAATATTTAAGTTCAATTAAACTTTATTTCTTAAAAAACTAGCGCTTTTTAAGAAATAAAGTCTGAATAAAAGATTGCATTCATCAACAAAATACAACAAATAATTACCTACTTACAAAATGAACCAGAACAAAAAGAAATCAAGTCTTTTCAGACTGAAAATATCGTCGATATAACATTTATTTCAGCCAAAAAATAACATTATCGTGCCAGCGCACGAACGATTCAATTATAGGAGTATGAACGTTTCAGCTTTGTGATATGTAATATATTTACTTGTGTTACAATCGGAATGTAATGTGACGAAAATATGGACCATTTATACTTTCAGGCCCCAACCGTTCTCTAAGTCGAGGTCATGGAGCGAGAGGAACTGGGAAGCCGTCTCCTCTTTCTGCAAAGCAGTTATGCTCGCAAAGAAGGAGCCGGACCGCATGAGGGAGCTATCCTCCGTACGCCCCAGCCACCGCAGCAGGCGACACGTCGACGATCCCCATTCACTGTAAGCGCGGGTCTGCGGTCTATAAGGGTAACTCGTTGCCCAACCAGGACCAGACCCAAGCGTACGGTGCATTGCGTTCCGCGCCTCAAAGAGCCAATAGACCACCACAGACGGGGCCCTATAGGGTTGATGTTCAGCCGGGGTTGCGGGGTAAGCGCAATGAGTCACCGCGGCCGCGGCCTAAGTAGGAGAAGGAACGAGGAATTTTAGTCAGGAGAAGTCATTTCACGATTTTCCCCTGACAAAAAAAAGGCAGATTGGCGATTTTAAACTTATAATTATAAATTATAGAGGTTTCCTTACGATGTTTTCCTTCACCGTGTGTTTTTAATGTGTCTTAGAAAGTAGGTATATGTATATGAGTAAATCGTAATTATCGATTTCTTGTTTTACAAAATGTTTGTTTAAAAACTACACCGGCTTCATCCTGGTGCAGCGTGAGGCTGCAGCCTTTAAACTATTAAAAATTAATCTAATATTTAGTTAATTGATTTGTTAATAAGTTGAACAGGATAAAAGTGATGAGCACTTTTAAACTAACGTTAATGGAAAGAACCGCAAAAGATTGGAATTCTTTGCCATTGTCTATGCTCCCCGTATGTGACCTGGGGTGCCTTGAAGGTACGTGCTTTATCATAAGTCGCAACATCGCTTAGATACCACCAGGCGTGGTAGCGGCCAAATGAGAGTCCACTACTATGTTGATTAAGAAAACAAAACAAAAAAAAACGTTGATTTAATCATCTCTAATAAATATGGTGTTACAGATTCAAACCTTATTTTGTATATTGCTAAAACTTGTCAAACATTCTGAACTTTTTACTTTTATTATTATTTAACGGTAATATCACTGAAACACAAGTAATTTAGCATCGAAATCGTTACATTAGTTTCGGAGTTCACATCACAATCAACTAACAAACACGTGACGTCATCAGCCACACTAATCGATTTTTCCTAGATTCCAATCTACTGTTTGAAGACAGCCTTATTTGCCATGGGATGTATGCAAGGGGGTTATTACACGGAACAGGCCGACCCGGCTGCGGTCGACAACCCTTAAAATGAGGACACTAGTGGAAGGAGGGTTGGACAATACCGTCCTCAAATATTCAACCTAATAATACCCTTGGATGCAAGTGATGGCAACTGTGTGACGTATCAAGCTTTCAACTTTATTCTTACATAATAATAAAAGCTATTTAAGGATGCAGTGTGATGATTGTAGACCAGTATACGTTGGTCAGCCCGTTTCCGCAGATCCCGTAAGAGAGAACTCAAGGATTAACCATATTTGCCAAAGCCCCAATTCTCAAATCTCTAGACACCCAAAACCTGAAAAAAAGTATTTGTAAACACTAGTGTCTTCAGATGGCGCCGATTGCTTATTCTAAAATTGTCTTCTACCTTTTTGCTATCCATTTAAGAAAGTAATTTTTGTGGGAAAATCATCTTATGTCTTTTAACCGCCCAGTATAGACTACCGTTTCTTTTGCTCCGAGCTCTGCCGTTGTAAGTCACAGGCGTTTGCAGTGACGTGGCACTTTTCTTTTGATTAAGGAACACCTTCAATACCTTGCCCAGGGTGAGGCGAGGGGAAGTGTCAGACTCTTACTGACTAAAAACGACTAAAAACCCTGTTCATTCTCATGCTCTAGGCCGTAGTCGACCTTTTTAGTGACGCCGCACTTGGGGTCGGAATTTCAGCACAATTTTAATTTATCGTACTACAGATAGTAATGATGTTATATACAATGTTCAAGTTATTGGTTTTCTAGAAACTTCGTCCAAGGTTCTATCAAACCATATTTCATATCAATGTAATACTACATAGTATAACAGAAGAAGTCGCTTTGGCTTTCCCTGTATCCCTATGTTGGCTTAAATCTTACCTATCCAACGCAACTCATTTTGATGCGGGTTTTTTTAATAGCCAGAGCGATTGAAGAGAAATCTTTATCTATATGTACTATAACTAGCTACTTTCGCGAGGTTTCACTCGCTGCTCGGCTCCGTTTGATTGTAGCGTGATGTTTTATAGCCTATAGCACTCGGGAACATTGTTGCTATCTAGGTATCAGTGAAAGAATTTTGGAAATTTTGGAAACCAGCGGTTCCAAAAATTACCCCCTACATACAAACTTGCAAACTTTACCTCTTTATAATATTAGTATAGAAGTATAGATTACACCTATTATAAAGTGGAAAAGCTAATATCAGCATTGCTTCCGTTTTTTTTTTGTGAGGGGAAAATCATCAAATGACTTCTCCCGCCCAGGGCCGGGCGAGAGGGAGTGTCAGACTCTTACTGACTAAAAACCTCCCTGTTCCTTCTCCTGCTCTGGGCCGAGGTCGCGGTGCCTCATTGCGCTTACCCCGCAACCCTGGCTGAACATCAGCCCTATAGAGCCCCGTCTGTGGTGGTCTATAGGCTCTTTGAGGCGCGCGCGGAACGCTACGCGCCGTACACTCGGACCTGGATCTAGCATTGCACCCGAGCGAAGCAGAGACGGGTCGCTAGTATATATACCTATTACATAAAACAAACAGAAAATCCCCAACAATGTTTCAAATAAGGTAACATATCAAATAAATAACAAATTCCTTCTACCTACTTACTAATTGTAATTAAGTACCCGTCTTTTGTTCTCGATGTAAATATGAGATTGCAATTACAAATAAACAATGTTGAAATGTACTTTGCAAAGAGCAATGTGTGCTCAGTGCATCTGCATCATAATTTTAACATGACACAAGAATCTGATAAGGGGAAGTAAATATTTAATTACTTATGTGGAAACAAGAGCTAGAATTTGAAGATCTAGAACTGTTTTATGTCTACTAGCTTTTACCTACAGCGTCGCTTTTTTTATGTAATAGGTCGGCAAACGAGCAGGCGGAGTACCTGATGGTAAGCAATCAGCGCCGCCCATGGAAACTCGCAACGGAGGAGTTACGAGTGCGTTGCCGACCTTTTAGGGATTAGGGATTAGGAGATTTAGGGATTGAGGAGGGATTGGGGGGGAAGGATTGGGCCTCCGGTAACCTCACTCAAACGGCGAAACACAACGCTGTGGTTATTTCACGCCGGTTTTCTGTGAGGCCGTGGTATCACTCCGGTCGAGCCGACCCATTTGTGCCGAAGCATGGCTCTCCCACACTTACATAATTTGACTACCTACACTGCCCTTCCTACGCTATCTACCCTACATTACTTACCCTACCTTATCCTACTTACCCAACCCTACCTATTCTACCCTAAAGGTAGGTACTATGTTCTTCATCTGTCTTTTTGGAAGTTCTACATCAATACTTATAACAAAAGGAACAAGAAAACTGAAATGGCTAAAGAGACTACTGGAAGTAATGGTAATAAGACCAATGAATTACAGAAAGAAAATGGCGAAAATGAATTGAGAGTTTGCAAAGATAACAAGGACAATAACAGACATCTGGATAATTACACAAGCACTGCAATCAAACTGAACGATTAATATTGCGTTACTATTGTAGATTAAGTTATAAAATTATGGTATAAATAATTATTATTAGTAGGTATTAGAATAAACGTGATTTAAAATGTAGAGAACAACGAAGATAATAAAGAAAATTCAAGTAAAATTACTAAAGAAGAATATTTTATTCAAACTTCGATTTTATTTTATTTATTTTTTCTGGCTGCTTTTTATCAACTCACCACGAGGGCGAAGCTGAGGCAGACGCTAGTCTAAATAGCAACTAAGCTTTAAATTAACTAAGCACGACAAATTTCAAGCGTCTAACTTAAGTGGTTTAGATTTTTCACAAAAGGATTTTCCCGCTAATTCCCGTTCCTGTGGAAAAAAATTTAGGAATTCGTTTCTTAGTGCACCTCTTTGGTACCTAAGCTATGCCTTTACTTTCTAGTGCCTGCCTATGTTTAGCCGTTTAGGCTGTGCGTTGATATGTCAGTCAGTCAGTCAGTCAGTTTCTCCTTTTATATATTTAGATTTTGACATGTGACTGTGGGAGAGCCATGCTTCGGGGCACGAATGGGTCAGCTCGACCGGAGTGATACCACGGCCTCACAGAAAAGCGGCGTGAAACAACCAGAGCGTTGTGTTTCGCCGTGTAAGTGAGGTTACCGGAGGCCCAATCCTTCCCCTCCCCCAATCCCTAAATCTCTAAATCCCTAATCCAATAAAAGGTCGGCAACGCACTCGTAACTCCTCCGTTGCGGGTGTCCATTGGCGGCGCTGATTGCTTACCATCAGGTAATCCGTCTGCTCGTATACCGAACTATTACATAAAAAATATAAAAGTGTTATTTTATGACCTATTTACAGAAACAAATTCATTGTTTCATGAATAACTGTCTTGAATCTCGAAACGAAATAAATCCCTAGATATTTTTAGACGACAAACCTGTCGCTATTTCGACTCAGTTCTTCCGAATACAGTAAATAAATAAAGACCTATCGATCTAAGACCTAGGTTAATGCACTAGATTCTAAGTCACGATAATAAACACTAAGTAATAGCTACTTAAGTACTAATCGCCGAACATTAATAGAGCTAAAACTAACGTAATTTGCAAATGTATTTCAATCAAACTAATTAATTAGATTCGGTTTTTGTTGAGTACGTTATATTTAGGCCAAGTTGAAACACGCAAAGGGCGCTTATAGGAATATTATTAATAATGATGTTATTTAAAGTTAATATTTTTGTTTTAATTGCGCGGATGAACCAGACCCGAGCGTACGGCGCGTAGCGTTCCGCGCGCGCCTCAAAGAGCCAATAGATCACCACAGACGGGGCCCTATAGGGCTGATGTTCAGACGAGGTTATGGGGCAAACGCAATGATGTTTTTTTTGCCTGTGCTCGAGACTTTGAAGATTGGACCCAACCAAATCTGGATCACCAATCAGCCCCTTTGCACGCCTTTCCACTGAATCCAAAGCCGCTAGGTGGCATTTTGCAGCACCAGCCCATATGATGTACTGCGGATCAGGAGAAAGAACGGAATGGTTTTGTAGTCACTAAGAGTCAGACACTCTCTATCGTCTCACTTTGAGCAAGAGAAGTCGGTAGCTGATTATCCCCTCCCCCCCCCCCCCCCCCAAAGATACCTATTGCCATATATACTGAGCACAATACAAAACTCGAATCCGAATTAGGAATCCGAAAAATCTGTACCTATATTACTTTCCCTGAGTCGGTAATCAAACCCTACTAGACCCATTGTTTGGTCTAGTCCAGTCGCACATACGATGACACGACTTTACCAATTCATTTAATAAAAAAAATCCAACTTATAGTACGTCCCTACCTAACTGATAAATAAACGCATACTTTTCATTACATATCTGTGACGCGGAAATAACAAAGAAATTATAAATACCACCCGGACCCTAATACCGGCCGGCCGATAAAATGGCGATTCCTATAGTATATATAACGAGTGCGTTAGTCAATCGTATTGAGAGTGCTCCATAAGGTTATGACCCCTACCGTCTACGTAACTGGTTTATTGATTTCCTCACTGGCTATGGTAGATAGATATCCAGATATCATATTGTAACTAGATCTTTCGTGCGGATATACCTCTGGAGCACAGAGACAGGAAATTTAAAATGCTCTTCTGAAGTTCTTAACTTTTTTCTTCTATCAACAAAAAGCTGTTTATTTAATACTAGCTGCGCTCTTCCATATAAAGATTATATGCGGTGGCTGGGCAACTGGCTGCCGTGCAACGCGTCGCGGGTTCGATTCCCGCACGGAATAACTCTTTGTGTCATCCACGGATTGTTGTTCCGGGTCTGGGTGTCATGTGTATGTGAAATTGTATGTTTGTAATCGCACCCACGACACAGGAGAAAATCCTAGTGTTATGTAACGTTTATAAATAAAAAATATTTTATAAGAATTCTAAAATATATAAAAATATGTGAAAGAATTTTTAAAATCGGAAGTTTTTCAGCATGGAGTTTTGTTTCGTGCCCGGTACATAGCAATAGGCTTATGGGTGGTGGAGAAGAGGCTAATCAGCTAATGACTTCTCTCGTCCAGAAAGATGTGGTAGGGAGTGCCCCCTTCTCCTGCTCCAGGCCGAGGCCCTGGTACATTATGACGCTTGACCCACAATCCCTGCTGAACATCAGCCCCGTTGGTCCCGTTTATAGTTTTTTTTTATGTATGGCACGAGCAGACGGATGACCTGATGGTAAGCAATCAGCGCCGCCCATGGACACCCGCAACGGAGGAGTTACGAGTGCGTTAACGACCTTTTAGGCATTTGGAGATTTAGGGATTGAGGAGGGATTGGGGGTGGGGAAGGATTGGGCGTCCGGTAACCTCACCTACACGGCGAGACACAACGCTGTGGTTGTTTCACGCCGGTATTCTGTGAGGCCGTGGTATCACTCCTGTCGAGCCGACACATTCGTGCCGAAGCATGACTCTCCCACACTTAAAGTGACCACTTATAGTGGTCTAGTTCTGGTCTGGTAGGCTCGGGTCCGGTTCTGGTCGGGCGGTGAGCTATCCTTGCTTGTCGTCGGGTCTGTCGCTTTCGGTGCTCAAAAATCATCACTCGATCCCCGACACCTGGAGAGTAATTCTCTAACACGCTCCCCCTTCTTATTTGCGAGCATCACTACTTCGCAGACAGAGGAGACGGCTTCCGTATTCCTCTCATTCTACATTTTTTTTTGTGCGTGGAATATCATCAACTAACTTCTCCCGCCCAGGGCCGGGCGGAAGGGTTTACCATTTTACTTTATAACTCTTTATAGTGATTCAATAGAACTGTTTCCACTTTAATTGAAGACTTTAACTTTAACCAAATAAACCATTACCATATCAATACGAAAAAGTTGTGCTAGGTCACCATAGTACCGAACGCAGCTTTTTACATGTGTGTTTTGAGTCAGACTCTTACTGACTAAAAACACCCCTGTTCCTTCTCCTGCTCTGGGAAGAGGTCGCGGTGCCTCATTGCGCTTACCCCGCAACCCCGGCTGAACATCAGCTCTATAGGGCCCCGTCTGTGGTAGTCTATAGGATCTTTGAGGCGCGCGCGGAACGCTACGCACCGTAATTTTACAACATGACCTAAAACAGTCCCAACGCGGCGAAAAGTTTGTTATCAAAACAAATATTTTATCATATCATTACGTAGGTAGATAATTTTATAAAGTGCAAATGAACTTTAACATTTAAGCATAGATATTATTTTTAATCTGTGTCAGATAGAGTTGAGAGTGTTGAGACCCCCTTTACGCAAATGTGTTTATGATATGCATGCGTATCTCGTTGTGATTACCTATTTACGATAATAATTATCAGCTGGTTATTTACTCTTGCGTAAGTCACTTAAAATAAACATAATAATTGTAGATATTATGTAAGCGTGTGTATAAATAAATTTAAAAAGGTTTTTTTATGTCAAATGTCGGCAAACGAGCAGACGTATTACCTGATCGCAAGCAATCAGCGCTGCCTATGGCAACAACAGAAGAGTTCAGTGCGTTACCGACCTTTTGGGGATTAGGGATTGGGGCAGAGGAAGGATTGGGCCTCCGGTAACCTCACTTGTAAGCGCAATGAGGCACCGCGACCTCGGCACAGAGCAGGAGAAGGAACAGGGGGGTTTTTAGTCAGTAAGAGTCTGACACTCCCGTCAGAAGAGAAGTCATTTGATGATTTTTCCCCTCACAAAAAAAAAGACATAGTTTTTTTTTCGTTTATATCTTTTCCAACTTATCTAATATATCCCTGCCATTTCCCTTTCCCTCAGTCTTGAACCACTAGCACAGTATTCCCTAAGTCCGGCGTGACTATAATAAAATGTTTACTCAGTTGATTGGACGTTGTGGTACGCATTGTAGTGAGCAAATACGCACACAACTAGATAATTACCGTTTTATTTTCATAGCAAACATTACACACTATATATAGATCGGGATAATAACGACTTACATTAGACCAGTATATAATATTACCTATATATAATATACTCCATAGGTTTTAAGACAAGTTTACTAAGAAAATCGAACTGAAAAACAAGGAAAAAGGTTGGTAGCTTAAGTGATCGCCTACTAGCCAATTTCAAGCTGTTATAGGTCGGCGGACGGTAATACCAGACGATTACCGGATTACCTGATGGTAAGCGATCAGCGTCGCCCATAGACACCCGCAATAACTGAGGAGTTACGAGTGCGGTGCCGACGTTTTGGGGATTAGGGATTGGGGGAGAGGAAGGATTGAGCCTCCGGTTAACTCACACGGCGAAGCGCAACAGTGTGGTTGTGCGACACCGTTGTGTGTGTGTTTTTTGAGGCCATAGTAGGTATCACTTCGGTCAAGTTGACCCATTCGTGCCTAAGATGCCTCCCACACATAACTTTAGATAAGACAGGCTACGTCGAAGCACCCGCTGCTTGGTTTTTTTCATGTAATACATAGGTCGCCAAACGAGCAGACGGATTTCCTGATGGTAAGCAATCAGCG